TCCAACCAAGACAGAAGGATGTTATGTTTTCACCCGTCTGTGTCTGCCTGTTACCAGTTTAGCTCAAAAAGCTGCAGATTTGGCTCGTCTGTCGTCTGGTTTTTATGGTCCTGGACACACATCTGGTGAAGGATGTCAAAAGTATCCAAAAAGTCGCAGTCTAAGATGCCAGGAGCAACATGTGGCAGGTGATGGATGTTTTGTCACACTTGACAGTCAGCGGTCAACACAGAAACAGACAAGTCTTGGCTTTAAAGGAGCAAATAAACTGCTGCCAAAACATTGAACACATGTAAATGAATGTAAAACAATACACAGTGTATTGGAATACTTGGAATAATACAGCAAATTACATTAACAATATATATATTTTTATATATTATTATAATCATAATTATTATATTTAAGTTGGGAAAAGTAAAAAATTTGATTTACAGCTATCTGGCAAACATCTCAGTAATACATCAACCTGATCATAAGTCAGCAAGTTTATGTGCACTAGTAAAATTACACAAGATTGTGTGTCACTTCACAGATCAAACCACTTGTAGGTCTCAGCTTTTTGTTTCGGAGGAGACCACTGAGCCAGAAGTGACGTCGCTGTTTTGTGTGTCATATAGAAGATCCTTTGAAGCAGTCTGATGGAAGTGATGTATGAAAGCCAGCAGAAAATCAAAGGCAGCAGAGTCAATGTGAGCACAACTCGCCATCCTTCTGTTTTTAACATCTTAACCTATAGTGTTATTAATGTTTACTAAAGACTGCACCTCTTAATTTGGTCAAAAAGTCTCCCAAACTATGTCCTAAAACCTCTAGCTTCAGAACATCACCAATGAGCTGAAATGATATTGTGGTAAGACTGGAGAAATCTAGGGGAGTTTAAAAAATGAAGATCTTTCTAATGTATCTTTAACCAGGGTGTGAATGAGAATCGGGGGGGGGGGCAACTTTTTCTCTTTTTTGGCGTTATGTCTGCAGTCTGTAGATGATAATAAGGCAAAAGTTAGAACATTAGCATTCATCCATAGACACTTCATATAATCTAATTAAGAAACTCTGAAGGTAAGAAAGCAAAGGGTATTAAACTAGCTAAAAAGTTAGCCACTTACATTAACCTACGATGCACAAATCATACACCACTACGATGGTAGTGAAGATGTCATGATCTTGGGTTTTATTGTGGTGTTTTTCTGTTATTTTGTTAATGTCCATTTTCCAATGTCCTGTTTTATTTTGTAATTTTGGTGTTTGGTGTTTTTGTCTAGCTTTGTATCCTGTCTGCCCTGATTCCTTGTGTATTGTTGGTAGCGTTACTTCCTGTTTTATTTTGTAATTTTGGTGTTTTTGTGTTTTCCTGTCTGCCTTGATTCCTTGTGTTTGTGTGGTGAGCCCTTGCATATATTGCCCTCAATTGCATGCAGTGCTTGTTGTCTCGTCATTGTATGTTGAGTGTTTAGCCCATGCCTTGTTCTCTGTGATTTGGATTATTTCTGCCTTTGGATTTATGTTCTGTTGATTTTGGACTTCTGCTTCACCAAGTGTAAGCCTGAGTATTTCTGTTGGACTTTATGAAATATCCTTAACTGAACCTGCTTTTCTCTGGCATGTGGGTCCACACTCAGTATTCCTGCCTCAGCACTCAGCTAACCCTGATACAAGCAGGCAGACGCAAGACTTCTAACTAACATCAAGGTTATGGTCTACTTTAGAGGTGTTGTATCGTACAAGATTCTTCCAGCCATGAATATGGGAAAGAAAATGTAGGATATATCCTCACAACCTCACATGGGAAGGGCTGGGAAGTGCATGCACGCTCCCGTGCTTCTTCCTGCTGCATCTGCACCATACACACATCAACACTGCAACTAACGAGATGGAGTTTGAAAAAAACAAACAAAAAAAACAACCGGCTCCCAGCACAACACAAACTCCTTATTTCAATGTGTTGATTTTTGCCTGCAAGAAATGATGTAACTGTACAAAGCAAACATAGGGTTTTGTTTATACTAGCCTACAAGTTATGAAAGACGGGGGCAGCCAGCTAACATAACATAAACACAGATCTACCGCTTTTTGCTTCAACTTGGATTTATTGGCATTTTACCATTACTCAGGTACACAACTTCTTCACTTGTGTCTGTCACTGTAACTTACAATATACAAGAATGTAACACAAGGACAAAACTACAGTCGAAGACTCATTCACTACAGTAACTGCGGTCTAACTGTTATAATGGGTTGCAACAATCTCTTTTATCATCTCGTTATCATCGAATACATTTAGCTGTGCTGACATTGCTGAGCCTCTGTGCAAACATACTGAAAAGTGGCAGACGAGCTAACGCCGATGTATCATGTTAGCTAAATGCAACGTTATCGTGCAAGATGCATGGTTTAGATCGCCCCCATGATTTGAATCCTTTCTTTAACCTCTGAAAGTCTTTGTTTGTCCCTTACTGCAGCGTGCCTCCCAATCAAGGCCTGGGCCCCACACTGACACAGACCTTTATTTACCATCGACACTACACGTTGCATAAAGTGTCCACACCCAATTTGATGTTAATGCACATTTTTTCGAAGTCAAAACCTACTTGGCAATCAGCCTGTTTCGGATTCTTAGGGGGCTTTCACACCTACCTTGTTTGGTCCGGGCTTTCGGACTTTTCAGTTTGGTGCGAACCAAAAATACAGGTGTGGACCTACGAAAAGAGGTAGTCTTGGTTCGGATCAAACTGAACCATGGTTCCGTTTGTTTCTGGTGTGAAAGCATTTTTAGGATGGATCGGACTTTCAGACCATTTACAGGAAGTTTGTCGTTTGCTGTATAAACCGGAAACAAACAAATGCACGGAGAAATGCATTGAAATAAGGACACAATTATAAACCAGAAAGTTCATCTTTTCAAACAGAGGGCCATTATAGAAGCACACTGCCACCCATCTCTTTGGTCTCTCCTCAAACGGAGATGCAGAAGGATTGCTTGGGGTCTCCTCCTCCTGTCCTGTCGGTGAAGTTATAATGTTTGCACAACGAGGACGTTTAATTGGGACTAGCCTTCAGTATAGTTGGTGCTACAGGTAGTAATGCCATAATAATAACAATATAGTGGCAAATATGCATATGTTAATTTTTTAAAGATACCTGCTGTTTAGTAAACTAATCAATGTCAAGTATAGGGAGACGCAGCCCACATAGAGGATGACGACAGGACGCAGGTCTGTCATGTAAAGTCCTTCAGTGCGGTCGCAGAATTGCACTGTGAAACCAAACCAAAACTAACCGAATATATCAAAATGTATCAAAACATGAACTTTGGTTCGGACCTTGCAGCGGACTTTCAGGTGCGAAAGCCCCCTTAGATTAGCCATCTGGAACTCACTCACAGGGACTCGATACAAAGGGATGTAAGGCAGCCAAGACTTACTCACATTTACAGATCTTTATTATAAATTCCAGTTTTCAGATAATATTTATTTTTAAATGATAATGATGAATAACAGGAAATGTGTATTGCATGTAATGGTGCAGTCACCAAAAAAAGATGAGATTTTACTAAATATTGACATGGCTTCAAAGAGTGCTTGAAACAAATAGATAAAGAATATGGATTTTAAGTTAATGAAAACATCAACCCATTCCTTCAGGCAGTGTTTGAATTACACTGTGTGGATTCCAGGGGAGCCCTATTTTTCGGGAGGCTGGACAGGGGCAGATAGGAACATTCCTGAATGGCCGGCCCATTTCAGGTTTTTATATTTCTGTTTCTCATGTTCAACTTTAAATGATCCACGACGTCAGCTGCAGCGAACGTTGTCTGTGTGTCCATCAGACTGGACCAAACCAATACTTTCAATAGTGAGGGGGGACACAAGTGGCCCCTCCCAACTTGGACCGATACTCGTTTTTGCTAAATTCTGATTGGCTCAACGGCATTGAACAAAGGAGTTTACTCTCAATACGTTTTGTCGGGGCTAAACTCAGACCAGGGTGGTGTGACAACGACAACAAAGCAGGTAATTATGTTGAAAAGAAAGAAAGAGGGGGGAAAAAAGTGTGGTACTGAAAAAAAATGTTGGCACATGAGGCAGAATTGCGCCAAATTAACCAACTTCTTCCTTGGTGTGAACGTGCTGTGGCAGACCCATGCATTTATCATATACTGAAATTATTTATATATACATTTATGTATAGGCATATAGGCTATATTATATAATTATATATATTATCAACAACAGTTGAAGGAAGAAGGACGAGGAAGAGAAGCAGCAGGAGGAGAAGGACAATGGAACCAGAAACAGTGACAGGTAGAGGGGCAGTACCGATTTTCTTAACATTCATATGTAGCTGTACAATCAGTACAAGCAGAGTCAGGTTCCAGCGCAGGGGATGCTGAGCCAGGGATAGGCCTACTCAGAGCTGAAGCTGAGGGATTTGATTGTTATGCACACACATACACACTGGTCTATTTAATGGGACTGACTCAGGCCTGATCTGGTCTTGTTAAGTGCAGTGGTGCCTTGCTTATACAAACTTAAGAGGCAGGTGTCATAAAATGTTTCTTGAAGGTCTTCATCATAATGAAATTGAAGTACAACACTATATATTAAAGTAACTGCGAAAAATCTTTCTCCACGCCCCCACATTGCGCTCATGTAAAAGGCCTGTCTGTCTCAAAGTCTGGGCTGAATTTCAGTCCCAGTACATCCCTGGGGTCTGGGGTTGGGAGTGTACTGTACACATGCATGCGCATACATTAATGTGCCAGCCTAAGTGCAGAAAAATTTACATTTAGCTGACACTTTTATGGCCCTGCAATGAATTGGCCACCTGTCCAGGGTGAACCCCGCCTTTCGCCCGATGTCAGCTGGGATTTGCTCCAGCCCCCCCGCGACCCTGTACGCAGGATAAGCGGTTGACGATGCCGATTTTATACAAAGCGACTTACAATTGCATACATGTCAGAGGTCGCACGCCTCTGGAGCAACTAGAGGTAAAGTGTCTTGCTCAGGGACACATTGGTATCTCACAGTGGATTCAAACCCGGGTCTATCGCACCAAAGGCATGTGTCTTATCCACTGTCCCATCACCACCCCAAAAAATATACATTTCAGTTCATTCAGAGAATGTTTAACCTGAGGACTTCCAGGAGAGCTCATGTGTCTTTCAGGGAAGCTGAGCTCCTCGTAGCTCCCCCATATTTCGAACCCTGCCTTTACGTCTACTTTGGTTGCTGTTGGTTTTTGAAATCGGCTTGCAGGGTAATTCTTGCAGGTTTTCAGAACTGGGAACATCAGGAGAGAGCATCATTTTAGGCTGTCGAGGCTTGTTGAAATAAAAAAAAAGGCACAAAAATGAACACATGAACATGGAGATAATTACATACAAATTATATATATATTTGTATGTGATTTGTATTTGTAATATATATACTTATATATATACTTATATCCTCGCTGCCTGCCTGGTTTTCCGTTTCTGAATCACAAATGAACATTCTGCTTTTGGGTTCAAATCTGTTTTTACGGAGTATTATGCCATGCACTCTATAGCAGATTATGTTTAAGTCTTAACTGCTCAAACATGTCTGAACATGAAAAACACTGATACAGATCTGTTACATCACCCTTTTCTTCCTTCCTCCTTTCAGTTCATCTTAATCATTTATCCTACTTTTCACCACAACCACAGCCACATTGCACAACAAGACTACAGTTAGATACAATATTTTGTTTTGTCGAATGGTGTCTGATTTTAACATTGATAGTAAATTAAAGCAATTATCACTTTATAATTTAAGAAATAGTTATTTAATGTTTGCAGATACCTGAAGGTGGTCATAGTCAGAGGCGACACTGCAGGCCTTTAGATCAGTGTAGATGTGTTCCCCCTTCAGCTCAATCTGCTGAGAAGAGAAAAAACAAAACAAAGATATATGATTAATCCTAGACTGACTGACCACACACGCTTGATGACATTCTCCTTCACAGTCATGTGGTTAAACCTATTTAAACTTGCTTGGGAAGCAAAATGGACGGACATCGACAACCCAGATACATTAAATGTATTCAAAGTAAAATATAAATGTTGGCTATAATTTTAGGAAAGGTGAAGAAAAAGTGGTAAGACAAACTTTTATATTGGACACGTTCTCAACTCGAGTATTTCAGCAATATTAGAGGACTGAATTTCAGAATGCTGTGTAAAAAGCAGAAATAAAAGGAAAGTAAACTGTGATTATGTTGCACCATATGAATGTTTACAGTTATAGTGTTGCAATGAGTAAAATACTACTGTAATTCCTACTGTAATCCTCCTTGTTAGTTTGCCTTTCTAGCACTTTACACTACTTCACATTCATCCCTTTTACACACTAACATCCCCCTGCGGTTAGGTTACTTCCTCTTCAACACACAGACTGGGGGAGCCGGGGAGTCAACCACAAACCTTCTGATAAGTGGACAACCACTCCCCTGCTCCACAGCAGAACAGAAAGAGGAAGTTGAGCTGCCATTCATAAATGTTTTATGCCATACAATTTTTGTCAGCAACACGTACACCGTGTGTCTAACAAAAAATGGTATGGTTGGTAGCTGGGCAGATGATGCATCAATGAGCGAGTCATACTAATGTAAGCACGCATATCATATGTTTTGTTTGTAAAATATTAATCTAAAAAGTAGCAATTTGAATAAATATAGTGACGCAGAAGCATAAAGAAGTATAAAAATGAAGTACCTCAAAAATGCACTTATGTACCGTACTTGAGTAAATATACTCAATGTACAAATGCACTGTAAAATGTACTTTTCAAAACTATCGGTGATAAGTATATTCTTATAGTATGACATATAATAATACAAGTCTGAAAGGGGCCATTCTGCTGCACTGTATGTATTTTTGAGTACATGTTTTTAAGTACATGTTACGTTTGAACTTGTACTAGGACCTTTAATTTGGAAGGAGTAATTTAACATTGTTGTTGCCACCATATGTACTGTGTGACCACAACACAAATATAAAAAAGAACTAAGCTCAAAGTTCCACCTGCAAGATCTTTTCAGAGCTGTCAACTCATGGTTTTCACCCAGCAATTGGGGCAATAGCCAGAAAAATAAAAACTGTTGACCTTGAGGCTAGTGTTACTGTTCCTGTAAATATTGTGGCTTTTTAAGACATTGCACTTGCATATTTTGAAAACTAACAAGACCAAAATTGTTTATTTTGTGAATGCTGCAGGGGATAGACTTAAAAGGAAAAAATGATATACAACATATTTTAAAGATTAGTCATTCTGACATCCTGCTTCAGTCACACAGAGAGGATGAGGATGTCAGTGAGACGAGACCGTGACTAGACCCTGGCATCCCGAGGATGTCAAAAATCCTTATCACATCTATTGTATTAGTGCTGCACACTCACTGTCTCATGTCTGGCTGCCTGTCAGTCAAGTGAAATATTTCCTCTTACCTTCAGCCTCCTGGAAAGACTTCGGAGGAGAAGAAAAACAAACAGAGAAGAAATGTTAACCTAAACTACCAGAAATTACTTTTTGTCAGAACAAGAAATGTGGATACATTGTAAACACCAGAATGAAAGCTTTTAAAGAACTGAGAGTTTCTAATAATTTAAACTTCAAGATGTTGATATGACATTAGGAAAACCCAGGCTTTCCAAGAATTTTATAGTGAAAGTACCTCCAAACCAATACTTACGGGAGGGGAGTTTTTACCTTTGAAACTTGTACATGTTCACAGCGACAGTCAAGATGTAGAGTACCAAAACCACTCCACAAATACTGTAGGGAACTACCGCAAAACTCTCACTGCTGACTGAAAAACAGAATTAAAACATGACAGATAAGCAGACAACAGGTTATTATGAGTCAGCAAGTTAAAAAGAAAAAATCTTCAGTTAGTTTTTGTTGGTTTGTTCCTCTTTGTAATGTCAGATGAAAGAAATCTTCGGTTAAACATTCCCCAAGTTATTTCGCAATCAATTACTTTCTTTGTTTACTAATGCATCCACTTTCCCCTCAACATACTTATGTTAGCCATTTTCTTCATTCACCAGATAATGTGAATCATAGGGGCAATAGGGGCATTCTGTGATTCAGCCATGTTTATTAACTCAAAACACAACATCAGCAGTATGTTGCATTCTGGTCCATTATCCAATTTAGGCTTCGGTGGGTTTTAAAATGAGTACCTTCACTAATTGGTTTCTCTAATGGATTTTTTTCCTGCATAACTGTCATAAAATGGAAGCTCTGTTTTTCTTAGATGTTTCTTTTTTTTATTGTTGAATTGTTTTAGATAATATGCCCTTCTATACATGGGATTTGTTCCTGTATGCATACACTGACAGTACATGAAATATGCCATACAAACAAAATAAGTTTTCTCACTTCACTTCTCATCATTTCACACCACCTTCCTTTACTTTGTAGCTTTACCTTAACTCACAAAGATTTGCTTAACTCTGTGGCTTTACATCCCCTCACTTCACTTTTCTTTGTAGATTCACTTCACCTCATATAACTTAAATATTTGGCTTTACTTCCCCTGACATCTTTTAACTTTAGGCTGTAGCTTTACTTCACCTAACATTGCCTCACATCACCTTACTTTATTTTGTAGCTTTACTTTTCTTCACCTCAATTTACTTTACTGTGTTTCACTTCATTTCACTATACAGCTTTAATTCACTTTAACCTCACCTTCCTTTACTGCGTAGCTGTGCTTAACTTTAGCTGTACTCCACCTCATCTTAATTTACTTGACTTTACAGTTTCACTTCCCCTCACCTTACCTTACTTTTGTAGCTTTACCACACCTCACCTTTCACTTCACCTTTACTTAAAGCAGGTTTGCTTTACCTTTCATCACCTGTCCTCATTTACTTAGCTGCTTTACTTTATGACATTATGGCTTCATGTCACATCACCTCTCTCCAAGGCTACATATTTATAGAGTACTAGAGTAAGAGCACTAGTATGGGTGCATAGATGGATCTGTATAATGTTGGTTCAAAAATAAAAAATGAAATTCCTTCACGACTCTTAATTTACCTGCGGTGGTGTTGATCTCCAAAGACACAGGTCTAGACCTCTCAGAGCCCCTCTGGCTTTGAGCTTCGCACAGATACACCCCGCTGTCCTTCTGACTGACCTGAAGGACCAGTATTTCTCCTTCACCCTTCTTCTTGAACTGTGATGAGGAGAGGTGATGAATGGCTGTTAAAGCTGTGGTGTTTGATAGACATGTCTTAATCTAACAGGAAACTTCTGGGAATTGAAGTGCAGTTGCTGTCATTTAGAAAAGTTTTGTTTCTTCCTAAATAGGAAATGCTTAAATTGGAGTTATCTCTTATTTTAGTATAAATAAACCACATAACCAATTTCAGATATTACAAGAAATCAACCTTGGGGTCCTTACAAAACACTAAATAGCCAAAAGTATGTGGACACACGGACATTACACATGTAAGTGTCGAACATGTCATTCCAAAGCGATAGAGAGATAGATAGATATGATATAACAACTTCTACTCATTTGTGTTCAGACAGATTTTTGAACCTGTGTGAGAAATAAATTTTAGGTCGGAGATTCGTAGAACTCAATATATATTTAACTCTGATCTTGGTCACAGTGATTCTGGGTAAACTGTGATTAGTCATAAAAGTGTCCTGGTCTGCAATAAACGTCTGAGAGCGTGTAGATGAGATTTTAACACAGACCAATGGATAAGACGATAGGGTTACAGAGACCTTTGATGCTATATACGTTTGCATTTCCTTTTTCTCAGCTCAGAAAGAGCCACTGAGTGCATGCTAATACTCCAGATATGGTATGCCATTTGTTTTTTAGCTTACCATTTGCAGTTGTGTTTGTACTTTTTTGTATTTAAGGAGAGAAAATGCTCAGGTCGGGAGACAACCATATCTTTCTCTCCGTGGCCACGTATAAAGAATTGATTCATTATACCTCTCTGTACTTCTTCTTTGGGAAGCAATTTTCTTTGACACCTGTTTGCAGGGATTGCTTCCCATTTAGCCACAAGAACATTGGACAATGGTGGGCGATAAGGTCTGGCTCGCAGTTCACCACAAAGGGGTTGAGATCAGGTCGCTCTGTTAAGGCCAGTCAAGATTCCCATCATTGTAGCTAAGGACAAACAGATCCAGACTAAAGTATCTCAGAGTCAGAATCAGAGAGAGCTTTGTTGCCAAGTAGTTTTTACACGTTTATGGAATTGGATTTTGTGAGTAGGTGCCAGAAGTAAACTTGTATAAATATATAGATTTTTTTTCTGAATCTGATGATCATTGTCCACATTGTCACCATAGAGCAGTTTAAATAAAGATTCCTATGTTCCTGAGAGCTCACACACACACACAAGCAATCACAAGCAATTTTTTACCTTGCTTTTATGATCTTAACTGTAGCAATCTAGATTTGCTTCAAATGTAAAGTGCATTACAAATAAAATGTATTATTATAATTATAATTATTATTATTATTATTATTATCAACAAAGAAACTGAATAAAGTAGATTCTCTCTTACCTTTCCAGTGTCTGCTCTGTACCAGGTGTAGAGGCTCACAGGGGGGTTGGCATCACTCGAACATGTAAACACCACAGTGCGGCCCTCAGAAACAGGACCAGACGTGCTGAGTGTAGCCACAGTGAATCTAGGAGCGTCTATTGTAAAACAGACGTGAAATAAAACATAATTGGCAAAACACTATTCAACCTCACATCCACTGTTAAACCTCACATCCTGCCCAAAGGCACCCAGAAACATCCTGTTAGCAAATTAAAAAATAAAGACAGGCAGTTAAAGACACCGCCACACACTTCTAGTGGGTCATAAGTGATGATTGAGAGGGAACATTTTTGTTTGAGACTAGACATTGTTTTTTGCCTTAAGTGCTGCATACTGAACTTTTGCTTTTAATACAGTACTTCTACACATTGACATTCCTACTTTTACATAAGTAAATGATCTGACTTCTTCCACCATTATCACAAAGTACCACTGAAAAACTGCAATACACTAACACCTTGAGTGGTGCATGCAGCGGTATACTTCATGGTCCATCACATCCGTCAACTCCAAGTTAAGACTAGTTCAGCTCTTCAAACACTGGTTAAAGAAATGCTTCCGTCTGTGCACAAAAATCCCCTTCAGCTCAAGTCAGACAAAGTCATGTTGAAACAAGTCAACTGTGTTCACAAACTGTGTCATGCTGTGTCTAACACATAAATCAATATGGGCAATACGTCTTCATAATGAGGGAGGCAGGCTGGAAGAAGTAGGATGGGAGGAAGGTTTTGTCAACTGTGTCAGTGAATTAATGACTGAATAAATCCTCAATATCTGGTTGTCAACAGCTTCAAGATGGAAAACAACCAAATTCTATTCTGTTGCTAAATTAACTTTAGTTAGCTTTGAGTTGCTTACATGTACTTAAACTATACTTTAAAAGTTAAATGTTTTCCTCAAAAGGCTTTCAGTGAATTAATTAATGTATTAATACATTTTTAGAAACAAATATATTTGTTCATGTGGACTAAGGAAGCTATTAGTCTAGTTTTTATTATTTAAACATGGTTTAATATTAGGGCTTACATTTCCACATGAGTAAAACATTCTATTCTTCTACTGCAGCAGAGGTCACTGTGGTACTTTTTCCACCTCTGCAGGTTTCATCTAAATGCAGACAAGCATAGAGTGTCTCACACAGGACGTCAAGTCTCTGAGTCGTTGCAGACGGCTGAGTGCTGCCCCCTTTTGTCAGCGGGTAGGAGACAGAGCAGGCGATGCTCTGGTTGTGATGGTTGGCTGAGGCTGTGAAGGTCAGTGTAGACGTCATGATCATCTGTCCATCCACATTCTGCTTTTGCAAAAAAAACAGGAAAACACTAAAATGTCCATGCAATGCGTTACAGTCATGAAATAAAACGCAATATACTATATCCTATTTTGAATGTCATAACCTGTTAAACTTTATAACGTGACAAAAACAAGGAAAATAATCAAAGTGGAGGAAGAAGTATTCAGATTTTTGAAATGTAACTATCCTCCACTATAAAAACACAGCATTAGAAATAAATGTTCTGCATCCATTACTTATATTGAATATAAGTACATAACTATTGTTAGCAAAATGTCTTTAAGATGGAAAAATAATTAAACAAAACATACTCCTCATGCACAGTGTTATGCCCTTTGAATATTATTTTATAATCATATTATGACTCATGTAATGTTTAATCTATATTAATGCATTCTATTTTAAAATACGATCAAAGGTTTTATAAGCAGGAGTTGAAGTAAAATTTGCACAACACAAACAGAAGTAGCATATTTAAGTAATTACAAATACCTCAAACTTGTACTCAAACAATGAGACATTATTCTATATGTTTCTCCAACTACTGAGTGTAAGTCCACCATTGTGAATGAATGACTGATTCATCACCTGTTGCATTAGTGTCTGCTCCTGCCTGGAGTTGTCTCTAGGGAGCCAGATTAAGGTGGGGGGCAGGATGGAGCAGGGCACTGGGACTGAACACTGCAGCGCCACCTGGACTCCCTCTGACACCTGATTCACAGAGGTCAACAGTGGAGGAGGCAGGCCTGTCAAGGAGGATAAAGATATATAAAAAAGAGAGACAACAAAAATAAGGCACAATATACAGGCTTTTTGCACATCCAGCAGACCCGGAGCAACATGAGAATGAACATGATGATTTTTAGCCACCTGATAAGTACGTAAATTATTTTCTGGGGGGGTTCAAGAGCTTTTTCACTAAAGATTAAAACAACACAATTTAGTCGTGCTTTTGTTTGTAGATGGCAAGAGCTACATCTACTTAACAATGTCTTTATTTTATCAACACACAAAGTCATATCTGCACCCGTTAAAACTTTTATATAATTCGATTAATTTTGGTGGGTACTTTTTAATTAGACAATGTGAGTTTCAAACTGAGAACAGAGGAGAAGGTTTCTAGTTTCTTGGTTTAGACTCTAAAGTGGAAAACTATGGTGGCCCTGAGTGCAACTTAAGAAAACACACACAAAGAGACAAAACACAAAAACATTAAGAAAACATCTTTACCAATATGACAACACGTGGGTACACTGAGAAAACTATTTCTGTTCTTGTCTGTACTGCTTGCAGCGTTTCTGCATTTGGTATATATTTTTGTAAATGCTGTGTATTGGTGAATATGTTTTCTTAATTTGCAGTGTATTGAGCTCTTAGGGCCACCCTAAAAAATGATAAATAAATAAATTGATCAAAATTACAATAATAAAATAAGGTATGATATTGTCCATGTTCACCACCTTAATGTAGCTTGTTAGCATGCTTACATTAGCTAATTAGCAGTATACATAAATTACTGTTGAGGTTGATGTGAATGTCATTAGTGTTGCAGGTATTTAGTCCTAAACCAAATTATTAGGCAAGTTAAAATTCAGAACTGATGATGGTGCAATGATGACAAGTCAGGGGACCAACAAATTTCACAGCAATCCATCCAAGAGTTGTTGAGATATATGAGTATGCTAAACTGACTGGTTTAGTGGCAGACTAGTAACTGAAGGTCACATATTTGTACATGTGATTTCTAGACAAAATGACCTCAAGTTACAATTTACAACTACCTTTAATCACTTAATCCATTTATACCTGGTTCAACAGCAATGTTGACTCCATCAGTGTAACTGTACTTGACTTTTGGACAGTTCAGCCTAAAGAAATAAATGTCGCTGTAGTTCTTTGGGAAGCTGTAGAAGATTGTAGTGCAGTTCTTCTTCATTAAGTCCCCGACATGTTGTCCCTTAAAGAGATTTGAGAGCAATAAGTACAGAACTTAATTATAAATCTCTGTAAAAATGGGAAATTTCTGAAACATACCAAATATGTTAAGGTCAATTACATTTAGAATGAAGAGGAAGACACTGCTCATTTCCTGTTCATTAAACACTTCAGGATAGTTGTCTGTCAACAGCCGACAAATGCCGACAATGAAAAGTGCAAGACAATTGATTGATTGAATTCTCAATAAACACTACAAACTGCATCTGCTCCGCCTGTTCTGCGTTTTGGGTCAAAAACCCTTTGTTTTCCTGAATCTGCACTCAACCAACTTGTCTTCAGTTGTATCTGTAGTGTTTTCATGATCATTGCCAGTGCCTTTTGCCTTACATGGGATTTTTCCTTGTGCTTCAGGATTCTTGTGCTCACCGGTTGATCGTCGCTCAACTCACGCCACCTCTGCTAAACGCCAGCTGGACCACACCATCTTAAGCCTGACTGTCTCCTGCCAACCTCAGCCTTGCAGTTACTTTTACTACATTCGGTGTCTGCTCTGGGTCTGTATAATTTGACTTTTAGATTATGGCTTCTTTTAAATTATTCTACTGGTATATGGTTATGTTATTAGAAAATTGAAACCGCCAACATAAGGAGTCACTGAGACTTTCAAATGGTACACATGCTTGAGTGTTGCTTCACAGATGACCGTCATTAAATAGGTAAATGATGCTCGTGAGTTTTGTGTACTGGTTGAGGAAAACAAAGACAGACACAACCTACTTTAATGATGTTAGTGTCAGGGCTGCGTGCAGTGAAGACGAAGGGACCCAAAAGCTTCCCTTTGATCCAAACAACACCATCTGTGCAGGTTGATATGTTTTCGTCTTCATTGATGGGGACCTCAAAACGACATGGGACAGTGACACAGGAGCCACTGATGCCCACAATTTTTGGGGGTAAGATCACATTCCAGGTTTTACAACAAACACCTAGAGGGGAAAAATGCAAATTTTTAAAAAGGATTGATCTACACCAGGTGACAAAGTAATAGCACTTTTTCCTTTCCACTATATTTCTCCTTTACATTCATTCAACCTCACCTCCACCTCACCTTCCAGAAAACAAAAGGAAACTTATGTTTGACTGGGGAAAAACAACAAAAAACTATACTTCCACCTCTAGAAATACCCATTAGCATGTGTGTAATCAGTGAACTACCAACCTTGCATCAGAGCGATGAGCAAAGAGACAACCGCCAGACCAACACCCATCTCAACTGGATGAGATGAAATTTTAAATCCATGTTAAACCAGTGAACATTTAAGAACAACAAAAAGAGAGAGAGTAAAGAAAAAGTACTGTAAGAAGATTATTTCTGCTATGATGCCAAAAAATCACAATTAATTCACTCGGACAATGATTCAAAGAGAATGAAATTCTGAGAAACAAATAAAACATATGAAATTAAAGACATAAAAGAACACCTAAAATAAGGAATTGAACCCTTAAACCCTTGCATGTTGCCCCACCCAGTGCAAGAAGAGACAAATAAAAGTTATACTGAGATATTAAGAGAAATAAGAAATGAGAAACATTATTTTATCAACAGACATCAAAGTTTAGTAGTAAAGAAAGTCAAACCAAAAGTAATTTACAAAAGCCCAAACTTTACAGATCTGTGTTTTTAGAGTACACACATAAATATATTCATAAATCTTTACCTGTCAAATGATAATGGGCAGTTCATCCAAAACAGACTTTGTGTTGTGTATATGTTTGACTAGTGAAAGAGGAATGAATAGAGAAGGAAGTGAGAAGAGAAACTTCACTGAGCATCTGTGGTGAAATCTTGACTGTGTTAGAAATATTATTTGTAGGGAAAATCTTTTCAAATGTAGTAATTTGTTCAGACATATCACAATGAATTTGCTGTAAAGACTCAACCAAAAAACATCTATACAACTAAACAATGTATTTGATCACACTCCAAATAAACAAAGCTAACTGAAAAATAAATCTGTGATAGATGGGAGAGGAATGCAAATGTGTTTTTATTTTTTGTCTTTCTCTAATCGTTGTTTTTTGTGAATGTTTATTTAAAAAGTATCTAGTAATTATAAAGCTGTTAGATAAATGTAGTGCAGTAGTAAGTACATCTTTTCCTGCTGAACTGTAGTAAAATACAAAGTAAGTGCAGGTCTTGAGTAAAGGTGCTTTGTTACATTTAACCAGTGCCAGCTAGTGATAAAAAAACTCATCTGAGAAAACTTCTGTTTGCCTCTTCTCAATACAATGGAGATTAATTTGATTGTAAACTTTGTAATGGTATTGCTTTTACTCTCGGTGATACACAGAACTGACTGTCAACAGTTTTTGCTGGAAATCTTAGAGACAGAAACACAACTCTCTACAGGATAAGTGAAAAATTATGATTTCTGATTCAATATCTTCAAACCTGATGTAGATGAGCATTTTATTTATTTATTTATTTATTTACTGCACACTGACAAAGATTTAGCAAGGCTTCCGTGTCTGGGGAATCACAAAAAACAACAAACAAATCTCACTTTAATCCACTAGGGGGCAGCTTAAGCAGGAGAATCAAATGTGCAAGACACACACAACCAATCCAAATGTGTTTGTTTGTTTTTACAATTGTTACTGAGTTCACTAAACTGGACTAAACTGTGGATCACTTGTCATTCAATGACCACATCTTTCAAATGTCATCAACTGTTTTCTTACTCAAACACAACCACCACTAAAACTCCTTATTGCACATTTCTTTCCATACTATTGTCAAAACTTAGCTACATACTTTAAATAACAATGGTATTTACTACATTCTGCTACATACATCTAAAAAATTAAAATAGATTTGAACATACAACACTGAGCTCCTATTTTCATTTTTTGATTACCTAAATGAAGGACCAAATGGGACCATGTGGCGTTTCATCATCTCTCACACGAGTGACTACCAGCCCATCCCAGGATGGTGTCTACTTTTTCTTCCACCTGACTCTCCATGCCCCTTCCCCACAGAGGAAAACTTGAAGGTTCATGACAACATAATCATATGTCCCTCTTGGAAACAATTGGATAAGAACTTGTGGCCAAATGCAGAAGACAGTCACTTGAATGCATTTTGTGTCAAAACAATGAAAAGTGATCCACACGTCCACATGTCTTGTGTTGTGCAGACTGTGCAAAGAGTTTTAAAAAAGTGAACACAGCATTGCGAAATGTGTGTTAACTGTTGTGCAGAGTTGGGTGTTGGTAAAGCGAACTGTCTGAACGGCTTTGAAAAAGTGAAGTCAGTATAGTATAGTATACTTCACAGACAATAGTGACACATATTATAATATTGCAATCATTGTGTAACTGTTAGGAGACACGTCATCAGTCTTCTGGTATAAGAGTTGATCCTGAAATGCTTATCAAGTGAAGAGAAAGAGAAAGCAGACAAGATCTACACAGATACATCTCACCCACTTACAGTGACATTTCAGCCACTTCCGTCTGATCGGAGGTATAGATACCCCAACATCAGAACTAACCAAGAAAAAAACTCAATTAAACAAGATATGGTAGCCATGGTGAGTCTGGGACACTAAACAGTGTTTTCTTAACTGTGTGAAATTCTCTCTGCATGATGATAATATTTCTGTCGTGACTTTTTGCAACCTCAGTGGCCCAGTTCAGAGTGACCTGATTGGCCAAGTGGACAACAAAAGAAGGAAGTGATTGCACATTGTAACATTTGTCTGAGGCAGAGTAAAGCAAGAAGGAAGAAAAAAACTGGGTTCAATTAAATCTGAATGAGTGGACGCAAAGAGTTCATCACATACTGAAAGACGTAGTAACTCATTTTGTTTCATGAGACTATATATTGGGCTTTATTTTACTTTTTACTAAGTGATAATAAAAGGAACCTCAAGGAATGTTCCTACATTTTTGGTGAATGTTACAAATAGGTGAAAATTGGATGAAAAATATTCAAAAGTTGAGTTTGAAAATGCTATTAACTTTTATTATTTCTTTATTACAGTTGATCTCAATTCACCAGCAGAGATCACACCATTAACAGAAATGTTTAAATGATTTAGTGGTGAACGAAACAAAGATGTGCAAGGCTTGCGCTTGCTAGACAGCTGTGTTTCAAAAGTGTTGTGGGGAAGCTATGATAAGGAAATCTGCCGTAGCACCCAGGCACGTCGGACCCCCTCACGACCCTGCAAAGAGGAAGAAGGAGATGAGGAAATAAGATAGAGAAGCGGTGGATGCAGTATGTGAGAGCAAAGAGGAAGAAATTAGGTTTAGATTAGGTTAGGTGGGTATTTATGGAAATGCTGGGAGTAACTTGATTGATGTGTGGTCCTGCTCTGCTAAGTAGCTCCACTTGTTTACACATGTTTTCTGAAAGCATGGCCCTCTCTAAAACTCTAAACACAAACACAAAGAACTCACAAACAAAACACAAAACTCCACAAACCTCTTGCAAAAGCAAGAGCAGCTTTCAAAACAATGTTGTCTTCACAAAAGGGAGTTTTGTCTCCAAACGAAATACACCATATAATGAATTGACATTTCTAAGAAGCAATTGAACATGTGCTCAATGGAGAACACTACTATAATAATCTCATCAGTAGGCCTTTTACATTTTCTGTGTTACACTACACACTGTACATACCTGTTGTAAACTGTTATGTTTATGAAGAAAAGACTGTTTGTACTGCATCTCAGCAAATACAGTTGTATTTGTAAAGTGTTCTTCAAACAGAAAAAAGAAACTAAGACTTCTGCATATACTGTAAAAAAAAAAAAAAAAGTTTCGGTGTAGCCACAGCACCTGATCAACATGTGTTCTTGCTGGCCAAGCAGCAGGAGAAGTGTGGCTGGCATGGAAAATCCAGCCTGCTTCTACAGCCATATTAACCAATGTGATGCATACACACATAACATGCAATACTTTCTGTTTACACTACTATGGTCCACTTGCAATAATAAACTACAGTAATGTACTGTATTGATAAGTAGTACCACAATACTGTAATGAGAATAGATTTCTTACCTATTCTCATTTTGGAAAGTCTGGGTGATGAATGCTGCTGTGAACCTGCTCCATTTTGGTTATACTCTCCGCCCAGCCTCCCTCAGTGTTAAACGTTCAGTGTTTAATATTTAGGAGGATCAATTCACAGAAATGCAATATAATATACGTAACTATGTTTTCAGTGGTTTGTAGAGACCGTACATAATGAACTGTTTTCTATTTATTGCCTCAGAATGAGCCATTTTTATCTATCTATATTTCTATGGGTCCTCTTACATGGAAGTCACCATGTTGTGCCACCATGTTTCTACAGTAGCCTAAATGGACAAATGGCTCTACAGAACGCCTTTTGTTACTATGTTGAATACATACGAAGAAGAAGTAGTAGTAGTAGTAATGGTAGTATTAAGAGAACCTGGAAAGCACTTTGGTACTACAACTAAGGTTTTTTATAAATGTGCTATGTAAATAAACTTGAACTTAAATTACCAGAAGTCAACTGGTTTATTAGAAGTAAGAAAATAAGAGAAATTTGGCCCACACGTATTTATTAGCACAAGAGTCCGCAGAGCGTGTCGGCCACCGTAGATTCTGAGCAGTGAGTGATTGTGCATTCATGTGGTGAAATTTTTTTTTATTGCAAAAATAGAAATAAAGTGTGCATGGGATATAAAGAAGTATACAGAACTTTGATTTGTGCAAAATCACCTATTGCATATTCATATTTTGCTAACATTTAATTTGTAATATGGTTACAACGGTTAGTTAGCTGTCCATGTAGAGTGAACTACATGTGTGCGTGTTGTTTATTTGCTCTGATAATGATAATCCAACACATCTTTGTAGCATCCATGTTGATTCTTGAGCACATGAACACAGACAAAAGTTGGAAGATCACCATTGTGACCTAAATCTCATCAGAGATTATGGCTCTTCTCAGTGTTGCTCTTTCTCATCCTCTTCCTCTCACTCCACTTACCTCTCTCCTCACCAATGGTCATTTTATTGCTAAAGCACTGATTGCCTATTGAACAATTGTGCAACATGTATTTGCCCATGTGAGAAGTCAGAATTAAGTTTCTATAACACTTTTTTTGATTAAGTGATGCGACACGTAACAGATGAAACACATAACAGACACAACAATGTAGTGAAAATACACACAAAAAACAAATACAAGTTTAGCATTTTGAATGGCAGGGTGCTCCATGTGAAAACATATATTTTAATAATGAAGATTGTGCTTAATGTTGAGAAATGGGCTTGTATTTTAGCAGAACTGGTTCAGGTTCATCAGCAAGTCAGCAGATATTTTGTGGTTTCTTTCTTTTATTGCCTTTACTTTCTTTTACTGGAAGCCAACACTGAGGCAAAGAGGACCCTGTTTAGAAAACAGTTATATACTTCATGATGTGGGAACATAAATTAGGCTGCATTAAAGTTTAAGTCACACAAATAAATTTTGTATTTTGGGTGGTTTTTTTTTGTGGAAATCAGTAACCCGCCCACCTTCCACCCCACAAAACAGTGAGAATGAATTGTTTGTAAAAATGTGTTTTCCTTGGAACCCATTATCTGTTATAATAACACAAGTTCATTGGCCCTTTTTAAAAGGAATCTGATCGGCAGAGGAGACTGAAAGCCAAAATAATAACTCAGTCTTGTGTCAGATTTACACAAGACTGTCATCCACCATATGTGTTTATACTGTGTGTGTGTGTATGTGTGTTCTTATAGCCAAGTGAGGACTTAAACCCAAATGCACACAAAGCCAACTAAAAATTTAGGTCCCCATGGGTAGAGAGTTTAATTTAAGGTTAGGGGTTAGGGTTAAGCATGTAGTTGTGGTGGTTAAGATTAGGGTAAGGGGCAAAGGAATACATTATATCCCTTGCCATGTCTGCACGGGGATTTACATTTACATTTATTCATTGAGCTGACGCTTTTATCCAGCCACTTACAATTGCTAAATATGTCAGAGGCTGCCTCTGGAGCAGCTGGGGGTTAAGTGTCTTGCTCAGGGACACATTGGTGCATGGGTCACAGTGGGAAGTTGACCCGGGTCTCTCACACCAAAGGCAGGCATCTTACCCATTGTGCCATCACTAGTGGAACAAACGTGCGTGTGTGTGTGTGTGTGTGTGTGTGTGTGTGTGTGTGTTTGCTTGAGTGAATATTTGTGTGTGTATGTGTTAAATACAAGGAAAAACTCTAACAAATTGAGTGCAACTGTGTGACAAAAAGAGAAGCAGGCAGACAGGAAGACAGATACACATGACAAAAAAGGAGAGAGAGAAAGAGGAAGGGTCTGTGTTTGTGTGAGAGAGAGAGAGAGAGAGCGAGAGAGAGAGACCACACATAACACACATCTATCTTTTGGCAATGAAACCACTTTACATAAGTAACAGTGACACAGATGACCACACACGGCACATGAAGATGCGTCTTTACTCCTTCGTCTGACCACTGAGACAGACGCAGCTGACTTCAGTAGTGTGATATCAGTTAATCATCTGCAGGTAAGATATCAGGACCTTACGGCTTTCTCTATATGTGTTTTGTTAGAAACATAATGACTGCATGGATTATATTCATTTCTGCACTTTGGGGAAAGGGTTAGTGCTGTTTAATGTTTATGAAGTAAAGACGTCTAGTCTCATGTTTCAAGTCTGTTTTTATTTTTAAACCAAGACCACAATGTTTCTCAAGACAAAACTAGTTTTTATCACACTTCAGTTTCTGGGAGTGGATATTGAAGGAAAACAAATGAAATACGTCTGTTTTATGTTTTAAGGATTTGCTCAGTACTAACATTTTGTGACTTTGCAAATACACAGTTCATTAATGTTTCCTTATTCTGTTGATCAAAACATATTCTGGGCAGCTGTGTTTCTTTTTATAATACATGCAAATTAGTAGTATATAAATTTAATTTGACGGAAAGACAGTTGCTGTTTTGTTTGTCATTAACTGTACAGTCGTGGTGCAAAATACACCCATAGCAGGTCAACCTATAATTATACAGGATGTCATGCTTCCTTAGTTGGGTACAGTGATCAGATATTTTTGGCTGTCCAACCTGACAGTGGTGATGAAGCCTTTTTGCTTATTGTAACACGTGTATGCAGCCTGAGGTTGTTTGTACACCACTTTCAGACTTTATCTAATCACTTAGGCACTAAGAGACAAAAGGACATTTTCACCAGTAGAGGCTGGAAAAAAAAATACTTGAATGAATGTTAAATTATTGGTGATATACAAGTTTAATGTTTTGTTTTTCTTTCTTAGAAAATGATTATACTGACTCCATTGACTTCTTCTAATCATTTACCGCGTTGAGTTCCATTATTTTTGTGACCAAGTGATGCCCAATCACAGGTTCCAAGCTGTGAGCAGTTCCCCCAAACAATGATATTTAATTTTCAGACCACCCCGACAGTATACGACCATTTAAGTCGCCTTTGTAAGCAGCGTGTTTGACCCATTTTTACAATTATTTTTAGGCTGCAGCCTTCAGTGGCCGTAGTAATTATGAGGAAGCTGAGCTAGTATAAAGAGTGATAAAGTCCATAAAAGGAGGAGGCTGAAGTGGATAAATGGGGCAAAAACAGACCTTTCACCCAGGAGGATGCCGTTTGGCTTCTTCGTGAAACCAAAAGCCACTGTTGACTTATTTTTACTTAAATGTCGTCACATACTTATGTGACTTACTTAACTTAACTCACATAACCCACAGAAATTACTTATTTTAACCCAAACTGTGATCTTCTCCTAAACCTAACCAAACTGTGACCATTTTGTAAGTCACATAACTTAACATAAACATGTTGACAAAGGTCCGGTACGCCTGTCACTGGTCCTCTCCGACTCTCCATTCATATGTGGTTTTCTTTCCACTGTCATATATGTTGTTTTCGTTTTGTTTTCATTGGCTCACAACGTATTCTGTTATTTAGGTAGTGTTGTTAACTTTGATAGATTTGATTGGCCTGAAAAGGTAAAACACTTCAGCATTTCTTAAAAGTCAATGTAGTGATTGTATAGCAGTTGTTCTTCTTTCTTTTATTATCTGTTTCAGATTTATCTGGCGACCCCTTGTGGGAGTCCCTGCCGCAAGGTTGGGAACCACTTATTTACTTTATTTCATGAAATAGCCATATTATGGGAAACAGAAAGCATCACTTTCATTTTGAGTTAATAGGTTGTCAGTAGACATCATGACCCAATAAGCACTTATTTGGTGATCCAATAAACATCTAGTTGTTTCAACAGCATTGCCTGTATTCTCAGCATGTAGTTAGGAGCGCTTTACAAAAAGTCACTGAAATTACAAAAAAACAACACTTAAAAATCTTTCACTTTTCAACTGAATTTAGCTTAGTTTTGACTTAAAGTCTCGTGAACTGCAAATTACTATTAGTTGACACACAGTGGGAAGTCATTACTGTAATGACAAAAAGGCCCAGCACTGTTTCAAGTTGCTGAATGTTTTCTATATTGAAACACTGAAACAGTGTGATGATTTTTTTGTGCTGCTTGGTACAAACTGGTTTCCAATGGTTTTGGTTCAGGAGATCTTTATTTCTTCCTTCTACCACGACAAAGACTGAAGCTGCTGTGTTATTCATATTTTCTGGCTTTTTAAATTTTTTTGATAATTCCTCTACATCATTCTTCTACATTTTAATCCTAATTTGTTTACTTTTGCATAATTGTCTTGCTGGCTTACAGTAGGGAAGTTTAACGGCTTTCAAATTGTAGCCTAAATGTAATTTTTAATCAGATCATATATACATGAGCCGTGGATTAATGTAGCTGACACAGAGGTTTGTGGTTGTTTCAGAAGGAGCAGGACAGTGTTTGTGGTGAACTGCTGTGTCATCGGTAGCTGGGGGCTCATGAATGTTTTTCTTCTGTGGTATTTTGATGTATTTCCTCTCAATGTGCCCAGCCATAGAGATCTTGAGAAATGTTACAGTTTGCCTGTGTGTTGTGTCCGCTTGATGTTAACAAACGTCCATTTTTCCACTAATACCAGTAACAATAGTAACTTTGACTCAGTCTAGCTCCAGTATCCATTTCATTAAAACCTTCACATTTGCTGGGATAAAATCTTTAATGATGAACTGAGTCAGCACCAGTTACTAACGTATTGATCACTGAAACATGGGTCACTTAAAACGGCAACAGAAACATCTTCACACAGTGTTCAAGCTTGTGTTCTTTTTTAAATTAGCAACTCAAATGCTGATCTAGAGTTGCTGCAACCAATAGGATTGCCACTGAATGCGCACAAGTATTCCATACACTGGATGAGAATTACATTTTTGGTGGGTTCACTGAAACTGAAGCAGCTAAATAGAATTCAGCCATCATTAGCTTTATATCCTATTGTACATTGGATATACAATAGGATTTTTCTAAAGCCCCTTTCAGACATGCTCTCCTTTATGTTAATCTGATGTTCTCATGTTTGAAAAAGCTTACTGGTTACTTTTACCTAATGACAATCACAATGGCAATATTAACTTTTCTGTAACATGTTTAACATGACACAAGTCTGAATAGATCCTTTTCACAGCAGACATTTTGACTCGTCAAAGCAGCAAAGCCACAGATGGAACTGATAACATTAATGGCGGGCCAGTTCCAGGGTTCTGGTATTGTGCATACACTCACTCACTGACATGGCTTAATGGGACACTAACTAAATTAACGTTAAGAAAAACATCTGATCACAGCAGACAGAGGACCTTCATCTCTGTGCACACAACTATTCTAAAACTATTTCTCCCCTTGTGGTGTGACCGGGGTAAAATAGTTATTTTTAAAAAATCCTATACAACCACAGTCAAAATCTGACCAACAACATTTATCTATTTTCACTTTTCATTCATGCCAACTACATGGATAGATACAACAATATCCAGCAAAATGCTTTACATACATCATGTGAGCAAATGGGAATTAAACAAGAGCAGCAACTTAACGTCCTGTCATTAATTGCTTGTGTCAGATATTGTAAAACAGCTGATGTTGAGTTATTTTAAATTGATTGATTATGTTAAATTGATGTGGAAATATTAATCGATTCACTGAGAAGTTCTCAGGGTATCATGATACAGCCTGCGAGTGAACAGAAAACATTGTGGTTTACATGTTTATGTCATCGCAGGTGCCAACTATCATGTGAACATCGTGCCTCTTTCTGTAGATGACTGACTCACTGTCAGAGTCTGAGTGACAAAAAGCTTCAACAGATAGAAGAAGCATAGATGAAGTCCAGTAATGTTGCATATTCCATATCCACAGGTTTCAGATGCTGCTTCAGTGTGCTGAAACCTTTTTGTTTCATTCGAAAACTGGGTCAGACAATCACACAGGTTGTTAACCAACGAACAAATTATTCATTATTTACTGAGCAACACTCTGGTTTCAATGTGATCTACGTCCTGCAGTTGGGCCCATAATTATTTCATGCAGTGGATTATAATTAACAAATTTTGTTCCCCTTCAGTTTCACTGTGGTATGTAGTACGATTAGAACTGTGTCAGGAAAATGGAGGGTGATGAATAAAATGTTTCACAACCAACAGGAAAGAAGGCCAAAACCGTGAAAAGATGATTGTAAACCAAAAGAATGACGGAATTACCAGCTCAGCTGAATGAGCTTCACAGAACATCTTCTCGTTTAATGTGTTAAAGTCGAGCCTGCGTTGTTGAGTGTTTCCTTTCGCCGCTGGTAAACCACATCCCATCTGTGTTCAAATGTCACATAATAAAAAAAGACCAAATGTTGGACTTGCATTTACAACTTTGCACCATGTTTGCTTTTCTGCTGAAACTGTGCAGCACTTTTATCAGATTAGAACTTTCAGTTTATCCCCCGAAACAACATCATGACCAAAACAGTGTGTGGTGAAAGACACTTCTGTGAATTGTAGTCTTTTCACATATACCACTCATTGTGTTAGATCCTCTCTATCACTGTTAAGTTTTTACTTTCCTCCTTAAGCATCATTACATGGATATACATATTCAAACCCACTACTCCATGTTTTTTATTGCTGTGCCATTTTATCTAATGGAAATATTTTAGATGTCTTGTGTATCACATGATCTCCTGGGTTTGTCAGATTAAAGGGCAGGTGGAGCCATTGATGCCCTCAATAATACCATCATCTTGAAGGAAACTTTAGAGTTGCTGCACTTCTCAATTTCCCCTTTTGAAGGCCGACGCCTTCCTTCTTTGAACCACAGAAACCACCTCTGTTCTTTTCAGCTGGACTGTTTCTTTTCATTTGAAGTTCAACTGCATGCTACCACTGGTAAGAACATATTTAATATAGGAAATCTCACCTACTTCTTCTCAGCCTCCTTAAACAGAATTTCTATAGCTCATTTGGCTAAAGGAGGTTTTCTCTGTCATCTTTATTTTCTGCACCACACTTCACTGTGGCATTTTGCTGGTTTGGGCTACAACAGTTTGATGTTTTCTTTCATTGGATGTTACTATATGTGTCTCTAGAGTCGCTGCATCTTTAATCTGTGGCCACTAATCAAAGTGTGAACTGTCAACTTCACTGTGCTTATCAAACCCATACAGTTACAGTATGTGGGTTTATTCAACTAACCTCGTGACGTGAGGATTTAGGACATTGTGGTGACAGTAGATCAGAGCATTAAAAGATTACCAAGAAATATTGATAATTGTCTTTATTGGTGAGAGGATGATCTTGTCTAAGTAAATATAATCTCAACAGTTCATCTCTACATCGACAGATGTACAGCTCGAGGTAGATTCTTGTCAATGTTGGCTTTAAAACTGACTTTAGAAGTTCAGTCCCGACCATGGAAACAATTGTCAACTGATAAGCTTCAACATGTAACAAAAACTTTATAATCACTCAAATGTTTTATTTATTCCTTCGATGATCATCACCTTGACCTGTTTAACACTGTTCTTGTCAGTTGTAGTAATTTTCTTGTTGAGCCTTCTCAAATGTAAATTTGTGCAATACAATAAAGTTATCTTTTCTACCTTATCTGATTTGAAATAAAATAAAACTCTGTGCTGCACATATGCTGTTAAATACAAAAGTTTCAAAAATAAGAAATAAAAAGTCCATAAAAGTCCTTTTATCAGAGACAAAAAGATGAAACTGATATTAATAATTTCATCTAACATTAGGTAAGTAAGCAAATTTAAGACCTATGATATTAACATAAATACATTGTATGGGGTGTCATTGGAGGCTTTTGATTGTCAATCTCGATTAGATGCTGGTCAACAATTATGCAAAAAGTCTGTGAGTTGTCTCAGTTGCAATTGGGGTAACAGGACATTAAATTACAAGAAAAGGCAACACAGCATGAATCTGGGTGTCATTTTTTCGAAAGAACCATTTCTCTCATGCGCACATATAATATTTTACGCCATCAGACACACACTGGCACATGCAAATGCATATAGACACCTTGGTACATTCTTAGACACTGAAGCACAGTGACTCAGCTGGGTATGACTCGTCCACACACACATACACTCAGACAGTCTATTTATTTTCATAGCATCATATGAAGATAAGGATTGTGATCAGAAAAGTTTACTTGTTTAAGTGACACTGAAACATTTCTTTTTCAAGCATGTGACTCTCATACTCTTTTTCCTTTATCCCAACTGTCCCAACTTTGGTGGAATGGCAACCTGACTTGGTCACAGACCGGGTCAGCTCCTTTGCTTTCACTGTAATTTAGCTGCATTTCTGAGGTGTATGTTGCCTATTAAGATGCTGCCATTGGGTTATAACCAGGGCTGGACTGGGACAAAAAATCGGACCTGGCATTTTTGGCCAAGGGAGCCCACCAAAATCGGTCAGACACCCCTCACCAATACACAATCCTAAGGGCTTAGATTAGGGGTGTGACGAAACACTTAGCCTATGAGAAGTAACATTACACGAGATTGGGGCCATGACAACGAGACAAGACTATATTTTAATAGGCCTACTATTTAGAAAAAAGGGGGGCATTAAACACTTAATTTCTTGCATTCTGGAGACATTTTTTGCACCAGGGAAGCAAATTCAGGTGGCAGGTGACAATTTAGAATATACAAATATAATAGAATATAATGCAAGTAACTTTAAGTTTCAATTCTGACCCAATAATCCCTCCATGAAACACCCCCATTGTTGGTAATGAACTGAACCCTAAACCTACAGACTTTGTCAGTATAAACTTAAAACGCATACAACAGTCAACATATCGGTGATAAAATCCTGAAAAAAATCACACATTGTTCTGTTGGTTTGAATGTATTGTCAAATATTTTGGTGACGTTTGGAGCAACAGTGAGCAGCAAATAAAATGTTGTGCATTCTGTAAAAGTTACAGCAAGATATTAAATATCACTACGGACTCACCATTTGATCTGAAAACGTTTTGAAACACTTGATATCTGCCATCCAGAGAATGTCTGTGTTGATTTTGGTACAGAGAATGTCTGTGTTGATTTTGGTACTGTTTGAACAAAGACTTGTGGAGATATAGATGTTAATTGATTTAGCATATTCTGAAAAACATAGTGAGGCAGTTCTAAATTGATTGAGGTTGCAGTGAGGCAAACTTTTGTCACATATCAGTAGATGTGCTAAAAAATGATTCATTCATTCATGATGGAAGAATTTTTTACTCTAAGCCAAGCTGTTCTCGAGCTAACTGCAGAAAAAAGTGAAGTTCATACAGCACCATGAGGTCAATGAGTGCCTTTTTATGCCTTAGTTTTAGGTGGAATTTACCACCCACCTGCCAATTTTGGTGAGTTTGGTCTGGCAGTTTTTGCTGCATGAACAGTTTTAGCAAAGAAAAAAAAGAAAGAAAGAAAGCAGAAAGCAAAAAAAAAGAAAGAAATCCAAGCAGCTAACTGCTCCAGCAGTTAATGTGTCTGATCATGTAAAATCTAAATGTGCTCTTTGGGTTTAGTATGGATTTATATGCCCTTTGGACTGAGATAGTATGTGAATATATATTTTGGATATTTGGCTGTTAAACACAACATTTCTTTGGCATTCCTTAAAATTATTTATGAAGTAAATATTGTAAATTTGTGCTCAAATATTATTTGAGGGAAAATTTGGTCAAGCACACAAATGAAAGTTGAAATAAAACGTAAAAGTTTCAAATAAAACCATTTTTTTATAGCCTCTAACCAATCCACTGTAAACTCCTGTCCCTTGTTGTCTGTTAAAAATAGGAGTAATCTGATGGGTAACATTTAGATTTTCTTGTATTCTCTGTTTTCCAGACACACAATGTCTCTCAATGCCTCTCATCCCCTTCACATGCCCAAGATTTCCAAGAATGACCAGGAGACAACTGTGGACATTGATGCCATAATGGACAACGTCTCCATCGTCCTCTACACATTGACCGTCGTTATCGGCATCACAGGGAACTCAATGGTTATCTGGGTGGCTGGATTCAGGCTCAAGGTGGATATGCAGTGTATAAAGCTTTTTTGTTATGTTAATGTATTGTTAACATAAATAATAATAATAATAATAATAATAATAATAATAATAATAATAATAATAATAATAATAATAATAATAATAATAATAATAATAATAATAAATAATTTTCCTGATATGGTGTAGATAAATGAGATATCACCACAACTGCAGGCCATTGTCCATAGTCCATCTATTAATGAACCTACTGCATGGATGTACTGAAATGTGATACTCTACTCTACTCAAAGAAGGAAATTTAACCATGCTAGTTTGAAAATAGCTCATAAACAATGTGCATAAAAAAAGTTCTTTTTAAAAAGAGGAGTTTGATATGCATAATATAAAAGACAATGTGCTCATTTTTGCATTCTGAATAACCAACTCAACAAAAAGTTTGGCCAGAGTGTCAATGTTCCAGTCCTGAACAGATATTTTTCAGTCGTAAGCTGTAACATGACAAAATAGGCCGGGGCGAAAAAGACACCACACTCTAAACTCTTGACATCCTGAGTATCAGTCTTTTTCAACCCCTATGTACACTGCTACAAGACCGTTTGTGGGTGGTTACGCTCAACTGCTAAGCGACGATTGGAGAGGGGTTTAGCGAATGGTTAGTTTACTGTAAGTAAATTAACAGTTGCACTACTGTTTTTTGATGAGCACATACAGCAGGCCTATGTAGCTGCACACTGAAGACTCTTTGGGCTAACTTTTATTGTTTCTATCTACATGTTGTGTACTAAATATACCCCTGCAATGTTCCTCTTTTCCTTCTTCTTCATTCCCTTTCTTTGTTTTCTTTCATCTCCCCTCTTTTCTTTTGTTATTTCTTTCCTCTTTTCTCCTCAGCCAAAGGTCACCAACGTGTGGCTGGTGAATCTGGCAGTAGCGGACCTGATCTTCTGCTTCACACGAGTCTTCTCCCTCATTAAGAAGCTCTTCTTTGACCACTGGCCCTTTGGCATCTTCCTCTGCAAGTTCAACGGCTTCTTCAAATATGCCAACATGTTCTGCTCTGTCTTTCTGTTGGCTGTGATCAGTTTGGACCGAGTGCTCTGTGTTTGGCAGCCTGTCTTCACCAGGCGACGACGCACCCTATGGGCCGCAAGGATAGTGGCTGTTTGCGTCTGGATTGTTGCGATCATCTTCAGCACTCCGTACTTCATGTACCGCCAAGTCTACCTGAAGAACAACCTGAGTAAGTGCTCTGTGGACCCGAAGGAGAAGGCAGGGTACACCAGTGCTAAAATGGCTATCTACTCCATTCGCTTCCTGTGTGGCTTCTTGTTGCCTTTCATGGTCATCCTCATCTGTTACATCCTGGCCGGAGTTGGCATCCGACGCACGCGCTTGTCCGGGAAGTCCCGACCCCTACGTATATTAGCATCGTTAGTCGTCGCATTCTTCCTGTGCTGGGCGCCGTACCACTGCCTCCTGCTGGTGAAGATGGTGGATAGTAAGAACACAGTGGTGAAGTTCTGGCACCCCATAGCGTCTGGCATCGCATACTTTAACAGCTGTGTGAACCCGCTGTTGTACTTCTGCATGGGGCTGGATGTGAGAGGACGGTTCAAGCAGAGTCTGGCGGGGGTGTACAAGAGAGCTCTGGCGGACGCTGACGACGGACAAACAACCCAGTCCAACGAACGCTCTTTAGATGACAGCGCTGGGTCTAAACACACTTATGTGGTGGCAGGAAGGAGTCAGACATCAGTGGATGTAGCTAAAGTCTGAGCCTCTCGCAGTTTCCTAAACACATCTTTGAGCATAAAAGGAGCATCCTTATGGTTTTCCATTAAAGTCACAGTGAAATGGCAGATAGCATGTCTTTAGCTCTGTGCGATATCGAACAAATCCCTCGACATATCATTGGACAGCTTAAAAGTGGGCATGGTTTTACGAAGACTGGCAAGAAGTATTGGCCTCATTGTTAATAGAGATGCAATTTGATATACAAAAAATCATAACTGACACATTTTACAGACTGTATGTTTGGCGAATAACAACAGAAAACTAGACAAGAACTCGAAACGTGTATTATGTTATTTCACTGTCTTTAACAACATTAACTATTAAACATTTTCTGAAGCATACACACATAAGTATGTAGGTATGTAGGTAGGTAGGTAAGTAGGTAGGGAGGTAGATAGGTAGGTCGGTAGGTAGGTAGGTCGGTAGATAGGTAGGTAGGTAGATAGGTAGGTAGGTAGATAGGAACTTCTATAGCTCTTCCCAGAAGGCAGCAGGGTGAACAGGCTGTGGGGTTGGTACTGTCCTTTAGTTATCCTTTGGGCTCTGCTAGGCACCTCACCTCACTGATATCACTGATGCTCGGGAGAAGGATAACAATGATCTTTTGAGCGATTTAATCACCCGCTGCAGAGCCCCCCGGTCCTGGATCATGCACATCCCATGCCAGTTTGTGATGTTTCCAGTCAGGATGCTTTCTATTGCCCCTCTGTAGAAGCTGACAAGAACTTGGTGTGGGAATTTGGCCTTCTTCTTCTCAAGAAATGCAGTCACTTCTGAGCTTTCTTCACCAGCGTGGAGATGTGATGTGACCATGTCAGGTTCTCTGTGATGCTGATTTCCAGGAACCTGAAACTGTTCACCTGCTCCAGCTCAGCAACAATGATGTAGACAGGAGTTTGTGTCTTTATCTCCTTCTCAACTCAACTCAACGATCAGCTCCTTAGTTTTGCTGACATTAAGCAGTAACTAGTAGCATGACTCTTTAACACTGACATATATATATATATATATATATATATATATATATATATATATATATATATATATATATATATATATATAATTATTTTTTCTGCAGGTACCTTTCAAGAGTTTGTTTTGAAAGGATCTGTTCACAATAAAAATGCGCCTTTCACAAAATATTAAAAAAACAGTGGCTTATGCAATGGATTATGTCTCTCAGATATAATGACATTTCATGTCATTAAAGTCACAGATGAAAAGTGGAACTGTGGTTAGCATGGAAAGAAGAGGGAAGTGAGACTATTAAAAGGAAAGCCAGTAATAACTTAAGTCATGACACTGTCTGGTGTTCAGGGGTCACACTGAAGGGTAGATGAATTGAAACTGTACAGTAAGTCCTTCCATTTTAAGTAATCTTTCTATGCACATTTTCGTTTTCTACCATGAGAAATGCTCAAAAGGGTTTTGCCAGCTGTGAGTGTAACTGTAACCTCAGTACAAAAGTGGGTAGAGTATTCATGGCTTTTAGCCAAGAAGCTGGTCAACCAGCATAATGAGCAGCAGTACTTAGCAACCAGCTCATAAAACACAGCTGTACTTGCTCGGTAGATCACTTACACATCACTAGGATACATATCAGTTCGATCTGTTTATCTGACTGCTTATCTTTTCTGCTAGTTAGGTTTTATGGTATTTCTGTTCTGCTGTGTACTGAAGCAGCATTGTCATGTTGAATGTTATGGATGTAAGCTCACACTGTTACACGTGAATTAAACATTCACTGCAATGAATGATAATAAGCTTAGAGTAGTTCTACTTTTTTGTTTGTAAGTGAACATTTCTGTAGCACATCATAAAATTACGGTGTAAAAACTGTATGAATGTAGAGAAACTGCAATGTGAAAATAAAAGCTTGTAAACTTGTAGGTAATTAGAAGTGTGTTTAAACTGTTTGATTATACAAAAGTGCTAAAAGATGCAACTCATTTACCAGTGTAGGTGATCCAGGATAAGAAAAATAGTGGTATCTGTTGTAGTCTCTTTAATGATTGAAAGACTGATAAATGCAGGTTAATTCCATGGCCCACTACTGCTTGGAAATTACGTTCACACTACCACGCTTCCATCCCCCTCATTTATTTAAATGGAATGAGTTTTTCAGTGCAGGAGTGGTGACAATGCAGAGGGCTTCAGAAAAAAACAATGCAAGGCAATCTGCAAAGAGCCAGGTTGATAACTTTGTTGTAACATGACATCATCCCTGTTCTCTTCACCATTGTCATGACAAAAGGTAAAATATTTATAATTGCCCCCTACCAACAGTGTTTGAATGCTGTTTTGGCCACCCAAAATCATAATTGGCATGGTCATAATATTTAGAATTACCACATTTTATGTGTTTTATAGTTTGTTAGTTTGCCAACCTGTTCCTCCAAAACAGCAACTTGGCATCTTGTTTCTCCCAGCTTAGGGTCTGCTCAATGTCTGCCTAAAGAGAAGCTGGGCCTTTAAGAAATCAGTTTACTTGAACTAAAACCAATACACCTTCATAAAAATAATGTTTTGCCCACCACCATGTGATAATACCAGTGACCAAGCTTTGGTTTAACTTCCTCATCCGAAAAGCTTGTGAGATGTAAACAGACAAGTGAAAAAATAAAAGAGGATGTGACCTTCTTTCATGTAACTGGACCAACACAAATCAAGAGTAGTACCACTTTATTTGTTTTAGTAAGTAAGTTTTAGTAAGTAAGCAAAATGAATAACACCTACTCAAGACAAACACTGACATTTTAAATACAATAATTAAAGCTCAACAATGGACCTAAGTACAGAGGAAAGGTTCCGTCAGGCTGCAGGGTTCAAGAAGGTTCCTCATTTTGGAAACTGTTTGAACATTTCAAACAACTCCTTGATGGACAAGAAACCTGTTCACCTTCCCAGGTTAACCTCCTGGTATTCTTAAACATACCATGTTGAAAAACATTCGGTTTCAGTGAAAGAAAATCAAGACTGTGTACAAAATAGACCTCCAACTTGTGATAATTTCAATTTTCATTTCATCTTTTAATTCAAATACTTTCTTTGATTAATCATTTCATCTGTATGATTGAAAGTGAAACATGCCCATCACAGGAGCCCAACATGACATCTTGATACAATTATTATTTTGTCCATACAACAGTCTAAGTCCAAAAATATTAAAAAACTGGGAACAGTAGCAAATCACAAAGAAGATTATACTAGTCAGTATTTTGTCATTTTGCTCAAAGATCCCCTCCTAACAGGCTTTATGACATATCGACACTCTGCTTTCTCCATTAAAAATTTTTATTCCATACATACTTAAATTTCTTAAAATAACATTTACTTTTTCTCTCTCATTGAAAAATCCAGAATCTATGAATATGCAAATAATTATTATTTCAAAAGTTCAAAAGTCACTGCTGGATCCAAGATGTCTCCTACTTCACTGAAAAATCCACTCTCAGTATATATGCACTATAGATTTCAAGCTTCCACATCACACTTGGGCTTGGGCTCAGTGTATAGTCAGCTTTAGATTGTTTTAAGCCTCACCTACAGTACGTGTACTTGTTTCAAGAGTGCAGAAAACAAGTTTTGGTTGTGTTTCGGTTCATCTTAGTTTACACTACAGTTGCATGGGTACTTCTGTTGAGCAGACTTGGAAACATGAAACCGTCACGATCACCGACTTCATCATCTTTGACCTGCAAGGAATTGAGATGGTTAGACCACATCAATACTACCACACCTGAAACAAGAACTTTGCAGTCATGACTTGACAAAAATGTTTTGCAATGTGATCATAGTATTAGAAGGGTGTGGTAAGACATGTTAAGCTGCAATTACACCTTTGTCTTTTATCCTTTATCAAACAGTATTTTGTAGCTGACAAGTTAATTGGCCCCTCCTAATTGGTTTTGCTTCTGTTTACTGTGTGCTTACAGCAGCAATCAAAACAGTGTCAACTTGCGGTTAATACTGAATGTGTCACTAAGGAAATGTTTCTAATGAAGGGGAGGCTGTACAGTGTGTTCAGAAAATGTACTTTGAGACTGAAAGATTCATAAAAGTATATATATCCATTTGAATTATTGATTCAGATTTATTATTATCAATATTATAGTCACAGGTGCAAATAATTGTCCAATCAATTCAGGTTTGTTAGTTTACTTCGCAACAGGAACGACTGGATAAAGAAGACTGCAAAACTGTCTTCTGTCTGATCAGGGCCTCTGAAAGGTACGAGTTACTCAGTAGCTGATGGTTATTATCAGATTTGCTGTCATCATCTTAAAATTTACTTGGTGTTGCATTTTTTTGTATATTGTATTTAGGTTATGACGGAGTGCCCGATACATAATGCAACATGGGAAACCCCAATGCAATTCTAAGCACTCTCAGACTTAGTTATCAAGTGTGACTGCAAGGATATAAATCCAAGACTTTGTTATATCGCTGACTAAATCTGATATGATGTATCTTTATCAATATACTGACATCCCTCTAAACACTCTGTACAGTCTGACAAAGAGTTATACATATTACATCTCACAGGATGTAACTTGAACCTGCATAGCTCCAGTACTAATAGTAGTAACAATAGTAGAATAGCAGTTGTATGTACTTGTTGCTGGTTTTGTTTTTCAGGCTCCGTATCCAGAAAGGCCACATAATGGATCAGTGTGTACATTCTAAAAAAAACAACAGAATAAGGACGTAAAAATTAAAAATGAATAAGTGGTCCATCTACATCAGCAACATCAAACACTGCTTTTAAAGTTGCTTCTTTGATTTGATACGACTGGTTACCTGTGGTACAGCATGGCGAAGAACTGGATGATAACCAGCAAGGCGAAGGATAGTATGAACATGAATCCCAGAGGGTCAATGTATATGTACTGTCCAGTGTACTGCAGGTTAATGTCGATCTTTGGCACCTGGATAAAAACAGTTGACCCTAAGAGCTGGAGAACGACGGTCGCTGTGAGCCAGAAGGCGTTGCAAATGAAGAAGACAAAGGTAATCTGTACATGAAGATGAAAGAGATTAATTTTATTAGAAGTTTACTTTGTTATTTGTTTGATAACATTAAAACACATTATGCATAAGCAGAATCACAAACGTGCAACTCAGTTCACCACCATGACACATCGTTACCTTGTTTCTCAACTCCTTGAGTTCATCAGCCATTTTTTTCTGCTTCTTTTTGCTGTCAGACAGAGGCTTCAGGTATTTAATTATCAGTTCTCTGAAGAACTGCTCTTCATCCTGCAGAGAAACACAGAAACTTTTTCAATGACGTGTATTTCATGCTGCCAAAATTGCAATTATGAAAGAGTTTGTTTCACTTTGAATATCTTTACTAAAATGCACAAATATCATTGTGACTTGCCACTTCTCTGAAAAAGCATCTAATAATATTATATTTTCATCCATGTAATTTTAACATTATGTAGCGTTTGGTCTGTTAAACCTCACTGGATTAAAAACATTAAATTTAGCCAGATATCTCTGACACTGAAAATGACAGAAAGCAAATTTCTTGCCTACCTGGCTGTTGGTTTATGACAAATTTTTATCACAATCAAAGAGACAGATGAGGGACAGACATAGGTGATCACACATAATCAAAAAACAGGAGGAGGACAATTATACTGAGTGATGAAATGAGAAATTCGCACCTTGTCGAGTGTGTCCTCCCGTAGCCGCATGTCTTTAGACAAACTCTGCAGTTGTCTGACCCAACCTGAGGAAAAGAGCAGGACAGGAAATTTTGCACAACATGAAAGTGTCGCAGGCAAAATGTTGCTAAATTCCCTCATATCAGGACTTACACTGGTGACGGTGGGTGAAAGCCTCTTGCCTGAAAAAAATAAGAAATAAGAGTTTGCAGCAAACCATTGAATGCATCATTCAATCTTTTTCTTTACTAAGCGATAATAGGATACTAACAAACATTGCATTTGATGTTGATATTAATTAAAAATGTACGTTTTGCACTGTAAATTTCCAAATGAGTGTGAATGTG